AACCGCTCTCGCTGTTCCAAAACAGTCCATCATCTGAAACCTCCGATGTAACCCAGTAATTTTCTCCGGCAATGACTGCTGACGGAGACGGCAATCGCTCCGGCGTGTTTTCCACCGTTGCCTTTTCCGCGGCGGCTTTCGCTCTCTTTTTCGCCCTCTCCTTCCTCACTCTCTGACAGATCGCCTGGATTTTGGCATCGACGGCGGATTTCAGAGCGAGCAATTTGCTGGAATCAGCCAGCCCGAGTAACTCGCTCGGGTCCTTGAGATTGGGGAAATTGAGGCGCGCGTATTCACCGCGAAGCTTGTAGGCGGCACGGTCGTAGGCGTAGGCGGCGGCCTCCGCCGTGTCGTAAGTCCCCAACCAAACCCTAATCCTGTTCTGTGGCAACCTTATCTCGGCGACCCATTTGCCCCATTGTCTCTGCCTCACTCCCCTGTACAGCTTCTTCTTCTTCCCCCCCGCGACGGCGGCGGTGGGACCCATCCGGTGGTCTGATGGGTAAAACGGCGTCGCTGTCGTGTGGTGCGGGACTCGGTTGTTCTCTTGGTAGAATTTGTGGAGTAGGTCTCGCTGCCGGAGATACACGGAGGAGCCGAGCGGCGGAGGAGCGGTGGTGGCGGTGAAAGAGGAGGTGCAATGGGAGAAGATCGAGTCGAGTGTGTTGGCTCCTCCCGTTAATATGATCTGAGAGAGAGAATATCCGATATCCGCAATGTTTGGGTAAAAGTCGAGCTGAATGAGATCAGTGGTTTCTTCCATCCGGCTGTTTTCTTGGATTATGAACAACCGAAAAGACTGGTATGAGAAAGTTCTGTAAGAAACAAAAACTGTCCGAGTTTCTTGGAGATCAAGAAAATGAGAAGAAGGGACGGAAAAGTTGGTGGTGAAGCTTGGTAACGTTTTATGTTATCCAGAAGAAATGACCAAAGAAGAAGAAGAAAAAAATGATGGATCTTGAGACAGGTGAGTTGCAGAAGAAACGAGCAAGGAGGATGATGATCAAGTAAGAGAATTAAATTCTTGGTTCTCAGAGATGTGTTTGTGACGCTCTCATTATTTTCGAATGCAAATTGTGTTACAAACGTCAATGGAGTTTGGGTTTTGAAAACTTGGCAGAGGGTATTTATAGGCCGAGAGAGAGAGAGAGAGAGAGAGAGAGTGCTTTTTTAGTGTTTTCACATGGAGCTCTTTGACATTTTTGCTGATTTCTCCACTTTTCTTTCTCATGTTATTGTCATATATATATATATATATATATAAGAGGAGGAGACTGTGTTGGTTATTAAATGAAGACGGACTTTCTAGCTACCAAAGCGTTTGGAGATCAAATGGGTTTATGTTTGGAGATCATACTTCTCCCAAAACAAACTTAGCATTTAAGACTCGTTGGTAGGATGGTAAGCGACGTTTGCAACTTACACAAGAAAGTTTCACATTCAAGAGATTTTGTGATTGATTGGATATATAAGATTTAATTAACAAAAATAAAGCATAAACATGCACTTGTGTAGGCGGATTTACACATATATATATGTATATAGGGAAAAGATGAATAGAATTAGATTCACAAATTAGTAGAGTCTAGAGGGGGGTTTTAGTTCATCGCTTTTAACGTTGTCACAAAATTCTCCATCCAAATCCTAAATAGTAACAAATTTATCATTATTTTCTTTAATTTGGTTAATAAAAAGACTCCGTGTGGTCCCAACACAACTTTTTGAATTAATGAGCCAACAGAGAGAGTCTGTCTTTAAAAAAAGGTCCGTGTCGTGTCATAAATTCTTGCGCAATTTTCATTTCACTCCTATATTCTCTCCATTTTCTCGTATCCTTTACGATATTTTCCGAAAATCCCTTATCGTCAATCTCTTCTCATCTACGTTTTTTCCAATATATATAAATTTTAATATCTTCAAATATACGGGGATCCATATATCGAATTTTTTAAAATCAGTTTGGCAGGACAAAAGTTTCGTTTCGAAAATGATTAATCATAAACTGTCAATTTAGAATTTAGGCAAACAAAAAAGTGTATCGTGGCGTTAATTAAATAAACTTCTCGTGTAGATGGGGTGTTTTCTTTGTGTATAAATATAATATATTTTGTGAGTGTGAACATGTTAGAAATATTACAAAATCTTATCTTTAATTCTATGATCCGATGTTGTTCATGTTTTTCTTTTTCCTAACGTTTTGATGGGCTGAAAATTTCGTTTTTGTTTTCTGGTAACATAACATGTTTGAAAAATCATTGTCTCTCTCTCTCTCTCTATATATATATATATAAATAATATTCCTATAATCAAAATTATTTTACGCACGCTTTATCGATCACCCATTTCCATATCTGTTCATGAAGAAATTCTTTTACAAAATATAATAATGTTTGGTGTAATTTATATTACCGCTAACAAAAGAAAAGATTGTTACATAATTAGCACCGGTTAGTGGCCTATATATATATATATATGCTTAGAATTGAATTATATGAGCATACGAAAGGTATCCCACTTTATAATTACATAATTTTTTCCAGGTGGTTGTGTGTGGAAATATGACATGATAAAATCTGCATGTGAAGTGTGGACATGAACATAAACATATATGGACATATAAGTAATCAGTATAACACGTACGGTCAATAGGTTGTGGTTATAACATTGATCGAGGCCGGACCACCACTCCAAATTGATCCATAAAGTTATGACTGTAAAGCCAATAATCACATGCAATCTTCGAGGGTTTTCTTTTTTCTTTTTCTTTTTGGGACAATGGTACGTGAGATATTTTCTCCACGACTATTCTTGCAAGATAATTATGGAAACGACTTTTTTCTAAAAATGAAATGTGAAAATATTGTAGTTTTTGTCAAAGGGTCGATCCTATTTTCATATAAACGCACTGTTTTCGTGATATATAACCAAACAATTGGTTATTAGTATGAAATATTATAAGTATTTGAAAATGAAAAAAAAATCTGTAAAAATGAAAGAAAAATTTAAATGATGATACTTGTTTTTGCTTTTGGGGGAAAAAAGATCAAAATTTAAAAATTTCAATGTAAATATGACAAGAAAAATTAGAAAACCTTTTTTAATTGTAACTAGTTGTAAAGAAATATGGTAGGAACGCATGTGGAGTAATGGACCGCATTAAATATGGAAAGTTGCGGTGGGACCTCAGTGTATTGAAATTTCAAAATTTAATTAAGGGTCTTAATTACTTAATTTACGTAATCTGTAATCTCTGTCTGTTTCTGATATGATATATATGTTAGGGATATTGCTGTATACTATATGATCCAGATTCTAGAGAGGAAAGTAGAGTATTATAATGCTGCTTTGAGTATTTCACTGTCGAATCAACGGAAATACATATACGTCGATCCTCAAAATGGAAAGATAAGGAATCATCTCAATTAAACTGTCATTATGTACACATACATACACTCATACGCATATTGCTTCTACGTCAAACAAAAGCATATATATATATATTATACTGAAAAGCGAAAATTGAAAAATTAAAGTTAATGTTTCCTTTTCTGGGATAAATCGCAGACATACATGTCTTGTGCATGTGATCTAAACCGTCAAATATCAAAATACCAGGAGTCGTCCCCTCCTGTTTTTTTTTTTCATAATCTCTCTCTCTCTCTCTCTCTCTCTCTCTCTCTCTCTCTATCTTGAAGAAATTGCATGGCTCAAAAGAAAAGGAAAAATAGATAAAGGGGACAGATAATACTTGGAAAAAGCGAATGAAACCGATACCGTGACACGAGATACATTAACGTGCATAGTTTTATTACACTCATAGAAAAAGTAAACCACACGGATTATAAGATTAATGCCAATTATGGACTTAATTTAATCACAAAATTTTGATCCATGCCCAATGATCTGCTCCTCGGTTACACAAATAAAAAAAAATCAGATAAAAATTCTTTTATTTGCTATGTTTCCATTGTACGAATGTGAAAGTAGTCGCCCTAGGGGTAATAATGTAAATACGTAAGCACCGAGAATCTTATCCGGATCGAGTGATGGATAGGCACCGTGAAAGTACTCGTGTCGCTGACGTCTAGATCGGGTCGATGTCATCTCTCCGTAAATAAGAGAAAAGGGTAAGGGCATATGCGTCATCTCAGCTACGGGAAAAAGTTGTGTTTTGTCGTTATTGAGAAACGCGACGCCGACGACCCGACGGGGCGAGTGGACCACTGCCCCTGAGGCCGACACGTCACCGCCCCTTGTCGCTGTCCCCTTACTCAGTCAAAACGTGTCCCTCTCTCGGATCATGACTCTAATTTCTCGCGATATTTTGAAGGCAGACCCCACCTCCGCTGCTGAGAACGACGACGTTTAACTGTGCGGAGCGATGTTATCGCGTCATTCCCTCGGGAAATGACGTCACGATGATGTCTATTTACATTTGATCGCTCTTTGGTCTTGCTTTGCACCTAATTCTTAACTTTGTTCACGAATTGCTTCATTCATTCCGTAACAAAATATTTATCTTGTTTATTGTTAAGAAAATTAAATAATACCATTATATAGTTGATATTTCAACCATAATAATGAATGTAAATAATAGTCTAAGCTATAGATAGTGATAATTTCTGTGCGACAAAATCATAAATTTCATCTTACACCAATTCTACATAATTGCAAATCTAAAAGGACCCCGACAATATCATCCATAATTACACCGTCAGATTATGTTAATTATTTAGACTAAATGGCTGCAAATAATATGTTTTCCATGTGTATATATACACACACATATATATTATTACGTCTCACAAGGTATGGGATGGTGACTGTACCAAAAAGTAGGTATTTGCCCATATCTGTCGCAGTTTGATTGGATAGCTACCTACTCCGCCTCGGTAAGACTTTACACAGAAAAAACAAAAATGAAATCATTATATATATATATATATATATATATATGCTTATATAAAAATTTAATTTGATTATAGTTGTGATATTAGGGTATCCCACAGTAGATCGCTGCATCCCTAATAAAAAAAAATCAAAGCCCATTGTTACCGACAGCAAATCTCTTTGGGTTGACTTGTTGGAATTCACAGTTATGTTGGAACTACCTACCGTATTATATTACATACTCGCATATAGTATTTTGTTAGTTGTTAAATTCTCAAATGAATGGTGCCATATTTTGTCAAAGGATAATTAATATGTATTGGAATATTTATATCTTTTATGGTAGTATTTTGAGATTTTGTAAAATTAGTCCATTCCACATGTTATGATATTTTGTAAACAAAAAAATGATATTATAAATAGAGGTGGACGTTTCGGTTCGATTCCGAAGAATCGAACCGAAAAATACGGTATTTTTTTATCCGAATCATTCTAAATTTTTAAACGGTATTATTTTTAGAAAACCGAATTTTTCGTAATTGAACCGATTTTTAAAAAATCCGAAAAATAAATTTTTTAAAAGAAAATCTATCTTTTTTTAATAAAAATCAGAACTGAAACCAAATCGAATCGAATATAATATAAAAGCCAATTGATACCTATTTTTGTAAAACCGAAAAAACTGTACCGATACATTTCCGTCACGAATTCCAAACCGATTTCCGAAACGTCCACCCCTAATTATAAGTCTAAATAATCACGTGTTATTTTAAAATTGTGTTATCTAATTCATCTACAAAATATCACAAAATGAAACGCTGAAATTTGTTATGATATTTGTATGGTTTGAATTTTAATTTGGATAGTATGGGAATTAAAAAACAACTATTGAACTACCTGTTTAACGTGACAACAAAATCTAATCTATATAGTCATACAAAAAGAATCTACAAAATCCAACACATTAATTGATTTATAGAGTCTAATTCTATGTTTTGGTTCCTTTTAAAATATTTGTTTATCTACATAAATATAGCAAAATATGGTCCGAATCCATAAATATATGAAATAATGACATCTGTGTTACTATAGTATAATAATGTTATCATAGTGTATCAATAGCGCAAATTTAATTATTAAAATATTATCTATATTTCATAAAACTCGTACCTAACTTAAATCTCGATGAAACATACATAATGATACAAATAAAATGCTCATACCATTACCATATATATGTATCACAAACACGTAACTATATATACGTCCAAACATATACACGTAAGCATGTGCATAAAGATATGTATGGATTAGACATTAATATGAACGTTATCTCGAACGGATCGAAGACAAATGTCTCTAATCTCGTCTCTTGACGGCTATATACAGTGGACCACCGTATACCTTTATCTTTGGAATAGAGCCATGAAATGTACACATACGCAGAGCTCTGTGTGTATGTATAGGTGTGTGTATGTATATATGTGTGTGTATATCCTCAACCATACATAATACGTGTGTATACACATACATGAGGTCCCCTCTTATCCGAAAGAGGTATAATTTTGATAATGCACATGGTCATGAATTCTTGGACCTACCATGCTCTTCGTGTCTTCTTGTATAGAAAAATACAGCGAAGCAGATGTTAGAGGCTAACCGTATCATGCAGCATCTGAGGTCCATCATTACATATTGTTACAATGTTCATCTTGTTTTTTTATTAATTGTTCTATTCACTGATTATTTTTACGTAAAAAAAGTAATGGTAAATCTAATACATCATATCTTACGAAAACTTAATTTACTATTACGAGATATATAAACAATACCCATTTGCAATTATATACACGTGTACTAATATGGAATGTATATAGTTGTGTTAATTATCAACCGGAATAGGTCATGTAGCACCAAAATATATAGTTTTTTTAATAATATGGTAACCAAATTTGTTACTCGACTACATCTTCTAGAAGATCGGAAAAACACATGTGAATATATACCCTTTTTCTAAATGAAGATTCGAATCTGGATTAGAAAAAAACTTTGTTATCTTCTTTATCGGTTAAACCACTAATCTTGGATCTAAAATATATAGTTGGTATCGAATGGATAAATTAATTTTACAATGGGATTGAATAATGCGGAGACTGATATAGTAAACAGCGAAACGTTTTGAAAGATTTATGCAAGTATATAAACTTCCCACCTACAAAATCAGGATATTTATAATTATTCTAATCATATATTATAAAATATTCTAATTCTCTTTTGTATAGTTATTCTATGGAATATAGTTATACTAATATATTAACAAAAAAAATTAAAATGAGAATCAATTCGACAATAGAATATTAGGGTTCACAACTTCGAGAACAGGTTAATAAGATGAGATCAATAAATGGTGGAAATCAACCGATGAGACTCAAGAACATGTACTTTGAAGAAAATAAATTTAATTCCATAAAGAAAACACTACATCAAAAGTTCGGCTTCTATATATAGTTACTATGGATGTTTTTTTTGGGTTACAAGAACAAATATATTGGGGTTTTATTTATATATATGGTCGAAATTTAAGGTATAAATGTTGATCAGGACAAAAATAATATTTCGTTGTCAATTGATAGGGTTGAATTGGATGGACTTAATTGAAATATACGATAATTTAATTATAACAATTTCAATTATGAGGGTAACAATATTATATAAGCTGGAAGTGGGACCGGTCGGTTTGACCATCTTACATCTTTTTTTTTTAAAATTAACATTTATAATTTTTTACCATTTTATTTGCTATCAAATTATTGAAACTCGTCCGACTATTCTCTTGTTCTGATTCCTAATTAATTATCACATTATACAAATGCAACCCCTAATTAGGGTGAGTTGACTTTTTGACCAAAATGACGCGTGGCAGTTCCAGCACCGACGCCAGGTGGAATTGAGAACTCCGTGTGTGTACGTATATATATCATGGAAGCAGGTATTGGTTGATTCATGTTGGGATTCGTTTGCCTCTCAATTATTATTCGAATAATATATTTTTATAATTGTTTTTGAATATTCGAAGCGGTTAACTATGGTTATATATTATATAACAATAAAACAATACAATCAAATATCAGGTCTAATTGAAGCACATTCTCATAAAAAAAAATATGAGGTCTAATTGAATTGAACAGATTAAAAAAAAAGTGAAAAACAACAAAAAAAAACCTTCATATTTTAAAAAAATCATTTAAATCTCACAATATCAATAATCCAAATAAATCTATAGTTTTAAAAAATATCCAAAACAATCCTTACCTTTTAAATAACATCAATTGTCTACAACTAAAGAACAAAATAAAAAATATAGAAAAACTAAAATTTAATAATTTAATAAAAATGATGAATTTTAGACATTTTTACAAAATTTCCATATTTAGTTTGAAATTTGTGAGTATTAAGATTTTAAAATGGATGGTTTTTTAATTAATGTTTTTTAGATATTTTAAAAAAAAATTACGAATAGCACACAATGGACCAAGCCCACATATTGACAGGTTGAATCACCTAAAGGTATGTAGGATCCATTTTGACAACCAATGCAAGCTAATTTAATTTATACACAAATAAACATTTCATTTTGGGTAACCCAATCCAACCCATTCACCCCAAATATAATTTGAAATTTAAACGGATTAAAAATAGGATTAACCCACTTAACAACATATTTTCCCAATCCCTAACTACACAAACTTTAGTAATAATGTTTATTCATCTTCACAAAAGTAGTCTCTCTCTTTGTCTCTGTTCAAAGCCATAAACCCACAGGTTTAGGGTTTGACATACAAATCGGACAAAAGTAAGAAACAAGCAGTCACATATAGCTTCAGGCTTTCATGGAGGATGAAAAAAGGATCCAAGAAAACCCATCTGGCATAGATAAATACATACATACACATATACATACATACACACATGCATCGAAACAACTCTATGTAGCCTTATGAACATGCTCCATTTTCTTCATGTTATAAAACCTTTTACTTGGTTAGAGCTCGTCCAGACGTCGATCCATGACCTGAGAGACGGCTTCCAGGAACGCAGCCTCACTCATGCCGGGCAACACCGAGTTATTGGCCTCTCTGATGATCTCCTCGATGACCGAGTCTTTGTTCACTGTCTCTCTGCACATTATAGATCCGATTTTATATGGAGTGAGGTTTCTCTTAGCCCCTTTCTTCAGAAGCATGGTGGAGATGTGCAGCATGCGGGATATGCTGTTGGGGACGTCCCAGCCGAGAAGTCTGAGGAGGGCAATGTCTTGTTCGGAGTCTAGAGAGTCTATGTAGTTTAGGGTATCCCGGGAAAACGGCTCTTGGGCTTGCGGCCAGTAGAGCCAGTCGAATGTGCAGTCTTCAAACTGCATCATACATCGTACAAACAAAAATTAATCGATAATTTAGATGGATGGTTCGACTCTAGAAATGGGCGATCAAATCAATATGTTTTACAGAACGAAACTTACGTTTTCAGGCAAGCAGTAGCCATGATCAATGGGAATAAGAACAGTCTGCCCTTCTCCACCTTTTCTGATCAGTATGTTTCCAGCATGCCGATCTGCATTTGCCATCCTTATATCGAAGACGCAAATCTTATGCACTTCTTCCACAGGAAAAGCCCCAGGACCAATATCCTCACAGCTCCCATTGTTCTTCATAAACATCTGCAGAGAACCGATTTTGACATTTTTCATAGAAACCTCAAATCCCCCAGGGTAATTATACCCTCTATGTAAGCTTCTGACCATAACAGTAGGTGGCACACCAGCAAAGCCGACAACTTTGTTAGGCAATGTTCTCGGGCCACTCTTAGGATGATCTAATATGTAAGCTGCGACTTCTCTCAATGCCCCCTCTCCTACTCTTGTACCTCTCTTCAACCCTTGACCATCTGATGACACAGGCAGCTTTTGTGGGTTGTTCACAGCCATTGGTTCCTCATCCGTGGGCTTGAAGACAGAGACATAATCTAAACCGGAAGAATCTGGCATCAGGTAAGTTCCTCCCGTTCCTTCAGATGACCTGATGGGTTGATATCCCCCATTTAACCCGTCAATCGTACGATTCATCATATCCCTGATAGCTTCAGGTAATTTTACCTCCGGATCTACAATTACTGGTCCTAACAAGAAGTCTCTACCAAGTGCAACATCTTCTCTTGCCACTGGTTGCGCAGATGTGACAGCTGAAAGCTTAGTTATTGCCAATTTCTTAACCAGCAAATGGATTACCGAATTCCCGTCCTTGCATATGTCATCTATGACCCTATGATCACCGAGCTTCTCGCCGTTACAAAAGATTTCTTGATCATCAACGTCAGGAAATTCCTTTCCCTCTTTCGAGATATGTTTCTTCAAATACCCGACATCTCTGTGACGGTCTACATGAAACTCAAAGACCTCACCGCAAATGGTTCTCACAGTGACAAGGAGTAGATCGGAAAGTTTAAGCACCAAATGCAACACACTACCTCTGGTAATGCCATATTCTTTCAAAAGCGAACTGTTCCTAGCAAGCTCTCTGCCACTAAAAACTAGTTTCTGTCTCCTTACCACAAACCCATTACACGTCTGGATCCTAAGTTTCACGTTGGCTATAGAATCAGACTCCAAGATAAGCATTGGAATCATGGAACCCGAAAAGCTAAGGAATATTAAGACGGATTGGATGGAGTAGTGCCTCGGTTGCTTGCCAAAATGACCAGAGGAGAACCCCGATCCTCTTTGAATCGGGTTCAAAGCAACATCAGCAACAGACATTTCCTAACACGGTCAAATCTACTTAATCTGGCTCTAAAGAAACGAAACGGGCATCATAAGAGATACCCCCTCCATGAAATCGATCAAGCGAACCAATCCCTAACGGAACTAATCGACCATTCCCACGGAAGATCGCGACACCTAATCAAGCAGGGAGACAGACAACGATAAACCTATATTCTCCTGGGTTTCTCCTTCAGGTCCGCTGATTCACTCCTGACGTATGGGGATCGTGGAGAAATATCGGAAAATGATCTAGGTTTAGGAAACCAGAAAAACGACGATGGGAGGGGGCACAGGAATCAGAAAACGAAATGGCCAAAAAGAGTGCAACGAATTTCAAAATGGATGAACCTCTAATCCGTCATTTCCTCCGAAATCGGCACCTTCGATGACGGATTGTTCTTGGAGCGATGATATCACCGACGAACTCTGAATATCTGCAGAGAAATGCTACGGTCGCCGAAGAAGGAGAAGAAATTTTGACGGAGGAGATGTTGGTTTATATAGACGCGCTCGAAAGCCTTGTCCGTTACCCGGAAGATTGTAAACTAACGGCGTTAACTGACATTGACGACCGTTTGTTTCCTGTGGCGTCTCCGCTCAAGCAATTGTTGTTAATTTATTTAAAAAAAAACATTTTTTTTAATGCAGGTTTATTGTCTGAAATATCATAGTCATACCCATCAAGTATATTAAAAATGTAGTCATTTCGGTACATACAATTTCCGAATTTCACTCCGATTTTCTTTGAAAAAATTAGATCTTGTTAACAAATTAATATGACAGAGTGCTGACAACAAAAATAAAACAAATTATTCTAATCAAAACCTTATTTGCCGACAACGGAAAAGATTTATTGACCACAACAAAAAGAGAGAATAGCTGAAAAAGGATAACGACATTAAGTAGTTAATATTATAAAACTGGAAAAAAAAAAGTTGACGAAAAATCCATGTTGTTAAAAATTTAAAATGGGTTGTTAAAAGAGAATTTAAAAAAAAAAAGAACAACAAAAATGGTCTTATTATCTATTTTTAGCCACTCAATTATCTTTGAAGCAAGAAAGGAGATATAATTTAAATTGCTGTTTTATTTTTTCATATAATTTGATTTTTTTTTTCTGACGATTTTATTATTAGTGACCTAACTGTAATATCTATCGAGCAAAAAAATATGTAATTTTAGTATAATAAGGCTAATTTTAACTTGGAAGACTGAACAGGCCAGATGCTGAGAATATTGCCGTTGCACATGGGATGGGTCCCAGTTCCCAAACAAAAAAATGTCTCGAAATCACAATTCCACACATACAATATAAAAATGGATGATGAATCATCGTTACGAGATTCGTTTTAAAAATTATATTACATATATATACTATTATAAGTATTAACGAATAAAGGTTACTGATAAGAATAGAAAATGCATATTCTATTATAACATATGCTTCTTTAGAATAGATTTTAGCTGTCTAGAAGCCAAAATTATTGGGACATTTATTCAGTTTGGAGTAGTTTAACTTATTTTAAAAAATAAAATTAATACCAATCACTTATTTAACGAGCTTTAATGGTACGTCCAAAAGTGTATGTTTCCTTGGATTAGTGAAAAGGAGAGGAAAGTCTAAAGGAATATGACTAATAATAATAATAATAATAATAATAATAATAATAATACTAGTAATAATGGATTCACCTTTAGAAAAGGAGGGGATGACCAGTTCATGCACCTATCCTAACCTTAACCACATTCATTTATTATTCCGATATTACCATATGCAATTAATTATCATAATTGTTTATGCATATAATTAATCCCGTAGAATAAATTAATATGATCGGAAAGGTCCATTCTCTAATTCTCTATGTATTGGGCGGTGGTCCTGACGTCATATTTTAGGAAGAGGACACGTGTGGGCCCGAGACGTGTCGGATAGCCGTTGCTTTATGCTTTAGCTGCCGTTAGGGACATTACACGTGGTGGACTCTCATGGGCTATAACATATTTTCTCGGATGTGGGCCACATGGTTTGGGCCAGCTTTCGATGTTCTATGGGCCTAAGTTATTAATTATTTCTCTGCGATTCTTTTTCTTCTCTTATTCCCAATTTCCTTTAACATTTTTCCATTAATGGTTTTCAAACATTGAAGTACATATTTGGTTATAGAATAAAACCAGAAAAAATCCCTAATATATAATTTCTTATAAAACAAAAATCGATAAATGAAAATATCACCCCAAAAAAAAATAATCCAAAATTAGAACGCTTATTTATCTATGGATGCAAATAAAAAAGATTCATGTAAAAAGTTATACAAAATCCCTATCATTAAACGTAGTCCTCCATTGGACCTCGGATTTGATATTTAGTATATATCTTTTGACAATTTATTTTTCAAAAGCGAGGAATTCTTCATATGGCGTACAATTACATATCATTACATCTTAGATATTAATTATTGTACCTCGTCATAAAATAAGAAGGAAAACAAGGAACACTTGATCTCAACCAGCAGGTTCGACGTCATTAACTTTAGACGCAAGAATAAAGCTCGGGAAAGCTAGAGTCACTTCCCTGAAACCCAAAAAAAGAATTCACATATCATGCTTATATATACATATATATGTGTGTGTGTATATATAAATGTAAGGAGGATGAGATGGGATGGGATGTACTTTAAGTAGGGAAGAGTCATGTTTCTGAGGATGGAGGGGGTGTTGGAAACGAGTATCTTCCATTCATCTTCATCAATCTTCCCGTCTTTGTTAGTGTCAACCTCGACCATCGTCTGTCCAAAAACATTTCATATTTTGAAATACCAAACCACTTGCATATATATAAATATTATTAAAAAGTGCATGATGATGATGATGATGATGGCATGCATGCAAAAGCAAAACCCTGACCTGTTCCACTATGGCTTCGATCAATTCTTGGGATAGCTCTAAGGCCGTTTCACTTAGAAGCGCCTCCACCATCTTCTTCAACTTTATTTCCACCAAATCCGTATGCAAACACACATTTATATTTATATATTCAGAAATATATATATTCAATTCCATATATATATATATATTGGAACAATATTAGTGTATTCATACATTATACCTCATGGCGCTCGATGAATCCAGTTCCATGAAGGTCGTAAAGCCTAAACACAACTGCAACAGTATAGTAGGTATAGCTTTGATCAAGAAACAATTGCATGCATTCCTTTATATATACAACCGACGAATAATATACATATATATATATATATATATATATATATAACATATGATACGTACACGAGGATTTTTCATGATGAGGAGTGTCGGGATGGAATATGCTCAGCGAACGAACAAATTCACCAAACTCAATTACACCATTACGCTTCCTATCGAACATATCAAACAGCTGCCAAGACAAAATATGTAACAAACTTCCATTATATGTATATATATATAATAATGGATTATAAAACCAACTATATGTGATTGGCGGTTGGATATCTGATCTCGGTCTCGTCTCCACGGGGTTTTTTTCAGAACATTGATTTGGCCTCGAGTGGCGAGATTCGATTACCCGCAGTCCAAGCACTCGTGACTGAAGTCGGATATACCGAATCCATAGATATTTCAAAAAATTAATTGATTTGTGTTACCTTTAATACTATATTGCTAATTTTATACAAAATAAATTTAAATATTATTGTAAATAAATTTAAATAGATGTAAACATAATTTTACTTATACCCGGAGGTCTTGGATATTCGCGGGTAAATTATAGTGGTTCGGAAAAACCCGAACCCGAATCACAGGTATGGGTTTCTGGCCTTATCGCATCTCTCTTGAATTTCGTTGGTGAATAGATATCTGTATACCGCATACCCGCGGAACCAGATACCCGAAAACCTAGCAAGAACTAGTACATGTTATGAACAGACAAGGAACTCAAACTCGGAAGAGAAGAAAGTACCCTGTCCGCAAACAGATTCTGCTTGCTGCTGTTCTTGAACAAAGCAAGTTGAAATTCCTCCTGTTCACTCGCACAGCCATAACACACGGTTGAATATATTTTTATGCTGATTTACACACAATGCAAAATGCATATATTATTGAAACTCTCTTTTTGTTTTGTTGAAAAATTTATCTGTAAACAAGTTTTCATTTCCATACATATATATATATATATATGTATGTATATATATATATATATTACTTTGTGGATGAGTCCGTCGTCGATAATGGAGCTGCTGAGCTTCTTGAACAGATCGTCCAAAGCCTCTATCTCGTTCACAGTAACTGCAGCCATTATAATAAATTCGATCTGTGGATCCATTTACTCGAAAACTCAAATTCTTCATACAATTAACACACACATATACATAGTCGTATATATATATATATACACAAACACATTTTTTAGATATTTTTTTTTTATAAAAAAACTTACAGGGCGTTTGGGATGCAAGAACATCAAGGTCCTCGTACCCAGGAGGATGCTTTGTTCTCTTCAGTGAAAAACATCTGATGAATGAACTCATTTTTTTTTTGGGTAAGGTTCGGTGTTTGCGTTTGTATTAATAATCTGGATACCTGTGGCAAAATAATAATAATAATAATAATAATAAATAAAAACAAAACAAAACAAAACAAGAGACGAATATTACAAGCATTACAGGATAAATAAATATTGGAAAACATGGACCAAAATACAGTACCTATTGATGATTTAAGCAATAAATTAATTGGAAGGCAAGAGTTATATAAATAAAAAAGCACCCAAATTAAATCGAATAAAAAATAGAATGATCATCCATGGATACAAAAGTACCATATATATATATATATACATACATACACTTCCTTCCTTCTTCTGTATGAGTTAGATCTTTCAACTTTCATCACAACCGCAATCAGATTTAGATTTATGTTCCTATGGAGAATAAACCGTCAACTAAAACGAGAGATTGGGATAGTGTTCAAGATGATTCAAAGATCAAGGGAGTCAACAAAAAGCTGTTGACTTTTTTCACATCAAAGACTCGTTGCTTCCTGTTCTGATTCATGTGTAGGGACCCCAGGATCCAATCAAGAACTGACTGAACAGAGACCTTCTCTTTTGGGTTCTCTATACATGTAAAGAACCTTAAAGATCAAACACTTTTTTTTTTTTCCTACAGAGAGATGGGAAGGAACACATTAATCGAAAGTTTGGATCTTTTGGTAACAAGACTCACCTGCGTCGTGTCTTGGTTTGAAATGGGATCAGCTTCACTTTGATCATATTCGTGGTTCGAATGCCCAGTTTTCTTCCATTTTCAGATCAAGGTGTGATCTTGTCTTCAAGCCCTTTCTAATGGTTCCGCGATCTCTCTCTCTCTCTCTCTCTCTCTCTCTTTTCTCTCTCTCTGACGAGTTAATCGTTATTAAAATAATTTGTTAATAATGCATATTATTTTAAGACAAAAAAGGACCCTTTTTTGTTGTTGTTGTTTTGATTGTATTTGTATTTGACTTTGTAAAGGTAGTTTAATTGGTAAACCCTTGAAAACTCGTTTGAATTTGCGTTTAAAATAAACTTCCTTGGAAATGGAGTTTATATCAAGGGTTCAAAGAAGAAAATTAGACAAAATATAATCACACAAATTTATCATCAAAATTAAAATTTCTAAAAAAATGTATGAACTTTTTCATACTCCTAGTTAAAATCGTAAATCTTACAAATAATTACGATAAACTGTATTATATTTGTCACTATTTTATATTTTGACACGTATTTTTTAAAATATATTTTAAATTTCGTGTATTTTTTTGGAATTCTTTGTAAAATTCATGATTTTAATTCGAATTCCCTTAGTTTTTTTTTTTAAATTTTAAATTCTTTATATTAATTTGGAAATAGATAAGAAATTCGTCTAATATTTGATTTTTTTTTGTTGGTTTTTTTAATACTTAATAAATGGAACATATTTTGGGCCTCATTATGGGCTTTGGGGTGTCGTAAACAAAAAACCCTAGTGGATCTTTGGAACGGAGCGGAGAATGGAGGAGGGAGGGAGAGTGGTGGAGATGGAAGATGATCTGAAGAAGAAGATCAAGAAAACAGTGAAGAGGATCCTGAAGAGATCGAGCATGTACGACATGACGGAGATCAAGGCCCGAGATATGGCGTCTTCCGAGCTGAACCTCGACCTGTCGAGAATCGGTCGAGAATTTCATCGAGGAAGCGATCGCCGCCATCGAAAACCAAAAGGGCAAATCTCAGGATCAGAGAGGAGGAGGAGGAGGCCATGAAAAGACGGCAACCAAGAAGACGAAGAAGAAGAAGAAGGAAACGTAATATATCATCTTTGGTCGTTTTTGTGATTTCTGCAATTACTTGTAGACTTTTTCACTTTAATTTTGTTTCAATATAATCTTTTTATATGTAATTGAATTTTGCTTATTGACATATGATTCTATGAAGAAACTGTCTCTCACATTAAAAAAATATTTTATAATATTTTATATGGGAGAAAATTAACAAAATCTTGTGGAGGAAGACGAAGGAAATTAGAAAATTATAATTATTAAAAAAAAGATAATGGTCCTAATTTTGGGATTTTCTTGGTTTCTTGCAAATAGGATTTTAGATTGAAGATCTGGTGATATGTATAATACAGAGTTTTTTTATTTTTATTTTGGGATAATTCCATTTAAAACCCTATACTTTTCTCTCGTCGCAATTTAAACCCTGTACTTTTTTTTGATCCAAAAAAACATTGTACTTTTAAAAATTGGCAATTAAAACTCTATACTTTTAAAAATTGGCAAATAAAACCCTGAACGAAAAAATATATTATTTGATGCTGACATGGCATCCTAGTCATCTGCCACATCATCAATCCCTAATATTTAATAATATTAATTAATATAAATAAAAATAAAATAATAAAAATAAAAATAAAATTTTAAAAATTATACACATACATATATAATGAAATGATATACATATATACACATATATAAACATATTTATATATATACACACATATATATAATACATATATATATATATGTTTTATATGCATATATGGTATATGTATTTTTTTTCTAAAAATCATGCATATATCACATATATATATGATTTTTAGAAAAGCATGTATATATCACACATACATATAAAACATATTTATATATACATATATATATGTATGTATTATATAGATATATATATAAATATGTTTT